GAAATTCGTTCCGCTTCGTTTCGCCCCGACAAGCTACAAGCTGTGAGGGGCTGCGACGGGCTGCGGGGAGAAAGTTATTCATTCAATAAACGAGGCCCGTTCAGCATTCGCAATTGTACCAAGCAAGAGACCACACATAAGCAGGTAGCGTTCTCGCCCACTTTGTTTGCTAGGTTAAGGTATGTACTGTACGGATGTAGGCAGGTAGCCAAGCTGTAGCTGCGGTTGCACTGTGCTGCCGGCGGTAGATGGTGCTGTGATGTCTCGTCTTCCCTGGAGAGATAGGATGAGGCGGAATCGGGCTGTCGTTTTGCGTCTCGCTCGCAGATAGCGCTTGGGGTCATCTGTGCCTTTGTCCGAGGCCAGCTGCCAGCTCCGTCTGCGGTGCTTTATGCAACCGGCTGCGTAATCGCTCGTAATTTGCTGCTGGGTGAACGACAGTCCGCGGTTCTCGGCCAATGGCATGCACAAATCCGGTCTGTGTGCAAGGCTTCCAGCTTTCCTGGTCAAACTCGTTGATCCAGGCTGTCATGCCACAGAGCTTCAAGCGGTGGCCCGCTGTGGTGCACAGTATGAATTACAGGGTACCCCGTCCCCCATGCCTTCCATTGCCGTGGGTGCTCGCCAGACCAGATCGGGACTGAAAATAGGGCGGGCGGTTCGTACTGCTCTGATTGGCCGTCTGCAGCTGAGCGAAGCGGCTCCAAACACACACTCCTCAGCCATTTACGTACCCGAGCTGCGGCTGGTCTGTGCGGCGAATTCGCGTCTCTCTGGCGCCTGACGATTGAGTGCCTTGCGTGCTGACCTAGCAATTCACCCTGGCCACCAACAACGAAGCTGCCGGCTTTCTTGCACCATCCAACGGAGCCCAGAACTCCAAACCGCGACGACCCTCATCATCGCCCGTCGCACCCGCTTCGAGCGCCACGATACAAATAAACATCAGTGCTCTTCATAGCTGGGGCATTAGTACCAAGCGAAGCGAAATAAACCACCCTCGTATTCTGGCCATCGGCTGAGCGACCATCATGGTAAGACCACCGAGCAGACGGAGCACCAGGGCGTCCAAAGCACTGTTCTAACAAATATGACAGGGCCAGAATCAATCTGGAATGGGCGGCGGAGGCCAGGAAGGCCGGGATGAAAAGGACAAGAAGGTATGAAGGATTGTTGTCTGAGACGATGACCGGTGACAAACGCTCACCATCCCCCCAATGCAGAAAGAGAAGCCCAAGTACGAGCCGCCCCCGAGACCTACGACCCGCATTGGGCGCAAGAAGAAGAAGGCTGGTGGTACCAGCGCCGCCGCGAAGCTCCCTCCTATCTACCCGACCAGTCGATGCAAGCTCCGCCTCCTGCGAATGCAGCGCATCCACGATCATCTGCTGCTCGAGGAGGAATATGTCGAAAACCAGGAGCGCTTGCGCAAGGCCAAGTCCGCCAAAGAGAACAACGTCTCCGCTGCCGAGCTGGAGTCGTCTGACCGGATGGCTGACGAGCGCGGCCGTGTTGACGACATGCGCGGCAGCCCTATGGGCGTTGGCACCCTCGAGGAGATGATTGACGACGACCATGCCATCGTCTCTAGTACGACGGGGCCTGAGTATTACGTCAGCATCATGAGCTTCGTCGACAAGGACCTGCTCGAGCCCGGCGCCAGCGTTCTGCTGCATCATAAGAGCGTCAGCATTGTTGGCGTGCTCACAGATGATACAGATCCTCTAGTCAGCGTCATGAAGCTCGACAAGGCGCCAACGGAGTCGTATGCAGATATTGGAGGTTTGGAGCAGCAGATTCAAGAGGTGCGCGAGTCGGTCGAGCTGCCTCTGCTGCACCCCGAGCTTTACGAGGAGATGGGCATCAAACCCCCCAAGGGTGTCATTCTTTACGGCGCTCCTGGTACCGGAAAGACGCTGCTGGCCAAGGCGGTGGCTAACCAGACTTCGGCGACGTTCCTGCGCATTGTCGGTAGTGAACTGATCCAGAAGTATCTTGGTGACGGCCCCCGGTTGGTCCGCCAATTGTTCCAGGTGCGTGATTTACAGGTTTTGCTTAAGTTTGAAGACCCAGAACCGACACTGATGATATATTTAGGTTGCCGCAGAAAACGCCCCGTCCATTGTGTTTATCGACGAAATCGATGCTATCGGTACAAAGCGTTACGATTCGACCTCGGGTGGTGAGCGTGAAGTACAGCGAACCATGTTGGAGTTGCTGAACCAGCTTGACGGGTTTGACGACCGCGGTGATGTCAAGGTTATCATGGCGACCAACAAGATCGAGACGCTTGATCCCGCCCTGATCCGCCCGGGCCGTATCGATCGAAAGATCCTGTTTGAGAACCCCGACCAGAACACGAAGCGCAAGATCTTCACCCTGCACACCAGCAAGATGTCGCTGAATGAAGACGTTGACCTCGAAGAGTTCATCGCGCAGAAGGACGATTTGTCGGGTGCCGACATCAAGGCCATCTGCTCCGAGGCGGGTCTGATGGCTCTTCGCGAGCGGAGAATGCGGGTGCAGATGGCCGACTTCCGGTCGGCTAGAGAGAGAGTGCTGCGCACCAAGCAAGAGGGCGAGCCAGAGGGCTTGTACTTGTAGAGTAAATGTATGATCACATGTAATAGCGATAGGTGGAGTTTGGCTGAGCGATGAGACTGGCAAATAGACAATAGCTCCTTTGCACTCATCTATCTTCAAGTGACCAGCCAATTATTTCCTGCTATTACATGACGAATGACAAAGATAAGAAGATACAGAATTTCCTACGAGTTTCATTGCTTCGTGAATCACCGTCCATCTTCATTCTTTCACTTCCATTTCCTCAGCAGTATCTTCCACGCTCGTATGGAGGCGGCGGTCTAAGGTCCTTCTCGCCCGGATCCTGGACACCCAAATCGCCCAACGTTGGCCCGCCACTCACCTCGCGCACAACACCCTCGTCCACATCCGGTCGCCCTTCCGCAGCTTTCAGCACCTCCATCAGATGCCTTGCGCCTGAAGGCCACATCCCCTTTGGTCCCTGAGCAGGAACATCGCCCCTGAGAATCTCGGCGACCGTGATCCCCTTCTTCCCGTAGAACGCAGCATTCGCGTCCTGCCGGGCCACCACTACCGTCCCGTCCGCCTGCACGCCAGCGTACAGGCCTCGGCTCTTCATATAGCTCCACACCGGCTTGTCGTTCTTTCCTCCATTCAGTGCAGTCTCGACCGCCGCGCCGCCACCGATCGGGCCCGCCACGAGCCCGATCTCGCCCCCTAGGGACAGGCGCGGTCGAGCGCTAAAGGCGGCGACTGCGTCGCGTGTGCGTAGGACGCACACGCAGTCGTATATGTCTAGCCCGGCCATGAAGCCCGCCCCGAGCGTGTGCACAACGAAGCCGGAGGGCGGGGACCAGCGGCTGTCGGGGAGGCGGGCGACGATGATGCCTGACCCGCCTGCGCCGGATACGTGCAGCCCTGTGCGGAGGGTCGTGAAGATGGCTAGTCCGGCGGCGGACTGAATTGCTCGTTGGGGGATTGTGACGAGGGCTTTGGCGGGCTTTTTGATGCTGCTACTGCTGCTGGGACCGGATGTTCTGGGGGAGGTTGAAGTGTAGAAGCCGTCTTCTGGATGGGATGTCAGTCTTTCGAACACTGGCTTGTGTTTCGCGTTCAAGGGTACTAGGGGAGAGGTTTGGGTGGAGAGAGAGAGAGAGAGAGACGCACGGCAAAAGGACTGCAAAATGCGCGCTGCCTTGTCACACTCCAGGTCTATCGTCGACGGCCAGAACGCCTCCGACCCAAGTCGGTTGGCGACTTTGTTGATCGGGGCGCCGGCTTTGACGCTCCATTGATGTAGACGCTCGCTGAGTGTGGCTTTTGTCGAGGTTGACGATGACGACGTGCTGGTGTTGCTTACCCCCGGAGTTGCGGGTGTTTGCGAGACTGGCCGTGGTGGTTTGGGCGGAGGCACATCGTCGTCATGGTGAGAGCTCTGCTGTGGTAGAGGGTAGAATTGGGAAGGTGGCGGTTGCTGCGTGTGGTTCGGGGGAGGAGGAGCATAGACTGGTTGTTGGTACTGGTTGTACGACTGCTGCTGTTGCGGTTGCTGGTGGTGATGTGCGTGCGGCCTCGAGTGGTGAGGTCTTGGTGCCGGTGATTCAGGCGCAATGCTCGCCGTCTCTGCCCAGTAATCGGGATTTGTACCACCGAGAGCTGGGATGCGCTGCCCTCTTCCAGAAGACATGTCTGACTAAGAGAGGCTTTCAAGGCCTGAAAAATATGAACAAATTATGTCGGACGACGAAGGACGACAGGATAGATTGTGATGTGTTCATAAAGCCAATTCTGCGTTGTCATAAAGTTTTGTGATGTTGGTGAGCGATGCCACGGCCTTGCAGGAGACCCCGAAACAGGTCAGAATTGTTGGCAGACCGAGAAGCGCATGCCGCAGAAGCCGGCATTCGTCACTGGCCTTGGCCAGTGACGCACCTCCACCACGCGCTCACCACCACTTCGCCACAGGTTTCGATGGATGGCGCATGCCTGCACCATCGCAAAAAATGCCTATGGCGGTGTCGCAGATGTCTTCTGCCGGTCCGGATGCCATGCTGAGGGAGAGTGATGTCTTGACAACGTCGGGCGTGGTGTCGTGGATATCGTCATGATTTGGTTATGATCTGGGAATAGCCTCACTCAGTCGCTGGACTCGGCAATCAGTGGTCGAACAATCGCCTATGCGACTCTGTGGGTGCGGCGTTGTTGTGTCATTTTGTCGCAGAGGTCTCAATTGGTGCCGCATCGCGAATGTCACGGTCAGGTTTGCAGGCACTTGCAACAGAGAAAGGAATGGCATAGCGGTTTGGGAGACAAGGGAACTTGAACGCTGATGAGGAAAGAGCGACGCGGCAGAGGAATGGCGGGCGGGCGCCAAAAATAAACCAACTTTAAATGGAATAACCTCAGCGGGACTGTTTTTGCCAACAAAAGTGGAAGGAACGACAGCAAAAATGTACTGCTCCCTGTGAGGCTCGAACTCACGACCTTTGGATCGCTCTGAAGTCTATCCAGATCATAAACTATTTATGAGACCAACGCTCTACCAACTGAGCCAAGGAAGCTACGTTTTTGATGAAAGCATGAGCGAAAACAATCGCCAAATGGTCTGACAGGATCAGAATGAAAGTTGTGGGAGGTACAAGATGCGGTACCTTGGCGTGGCAGCTGGCGTCGCGGAAAGGGGCTGCCGCCCCACTCCCCGCCCCACTTCACGCAAGCTTTGTATCCCAACCGCTGTTATCATCCATCTATCATTTATAACAGAGAAAAAAAAGAGATGGAAAAAAAAGAGGGAAGGGATAGGGAGAAAGAGAGAGAGAGAGAAGAGAGGGAGAGAAGAGGGAGAAAGAGAGAAGTAAAACGAGAAGGAAGAGATACAAAAGAGAGAGTATCAATCCTTGGGCCTAAGCTACTGGCAGCCGTTGATACCTGGGGCAGCACACGACACACTTCAATATTTCCATCGCACCGGAAAGGCATTTGCACAATAAAATGGGCTCGGGCATCCGTCCTAAGAAGGGCAAGGCACGAGACGACTTCTGTGAGGACATGCTAGTGATGAACTTGATATTCACAACGCCGACATCTTGTCACGGAGGCCATTAAATTCACTAACACGACCTGCAATTTCATCGTCAACTCCCGGGCTCTAATACCCGAGGGCATCTGAGTAGTCCTGAAAGCTTGGTTTCTCCCACAAAAGGTGTTCTTGCAAGATTGAGAGGCGTGAATTCATACACCACTGTGCCTAATTGTGAGGCTTACGGGGCCTAGATTAATACTAAGAATGGGTATTGAGGAGCCGCCGAGGGATCGGAATCGGACCAGTTAGACCTTCGTTTTGAAATAGATGGCATTTCATAACAGTTCCAGGGCCTTCGCTTGGACCAACGGGGTCCTACCAGTCAGAGAGAAGGCTACCGCTTGAGAATATACGCCCCTACATGGCGAGACTGCCTTATCACGAGAGGAGCATTAGACGTACATCGTGTGATTCTGTAGCCCTAGAGGAGAATCTTGCCTCGGTCAAGTATTTCTATCAAGGGAGAAAGGGGAGCAAAGTAGACGTGTGGAAAATTGTAAATGCCTCATTGCTGGATCTTGTAGACTTATGAAGAAGTTTGGGAGGCATTCACATAAGAAACAAGGTAATTTGAGAAAATAGAAGAAGAAGGAAACTGAATAGAGAGTGCCAGAAAAGAAATTAGAGGGCTGTTGAGTGAAGAGTCCATGCCTTCCTAGAGTCTGTTCACGCTTGCTTGAGGGCAGTTAACACACTCTTGGAGTGATAAGACGGTAAACAGACAACGCTTACGCATTCCCAGACTTTAGGAACGCCTCCGTAGCTATCCCATCTCCTAATAACATCTTCAGCAGAACGACAGGAATCAGAGACCCCAGAACCCGAGACAGAACTGCCAAAGACTCACCCCTTCTTGCACGCCACTCGCCAGCAACGACAGGCTCCAGTCACGGAAACCACTATCAGAACTGCCACAACAGCAAACAGCCATACAAACGGCCTGTTACCCCCCTCAAAGATACTAAATTCCTCTCCCGACGGGACGCCTTAGTGGCCATGCGCATTATCATTTTAGTCGAGCTCGCTCTAGGGCTTCTTGGATAGTATCTCAACTCTCATGAGACCCACTATGGTGGACAGGTCAAAGATGCAGTGCGTGAAGCGCTCTGGCGGCACGATGAAGTTATTTCATGTGCAATGGACGAGGGTGGAAGGCGTACTCTTGGCTCATCACCTCTTTTCCCGAGGTTACGCGGTATGTCTGATAACTGCGCACGCATTCTCCCAAGTTTCAGAGGCGTAGGAGTTATAGCTGGAACGGGTAAACTTGTAAGTAAAAGCTCTGGAGTTGAGGTTAGAAAGCTGTACGTATTTTGACATAATACATGCTCTTGGAAACAAGAAGAGATTGGCAGCTTGTGATATACCCTCAAATGCAAACAGTACCACTTCAACTGCCTTCACGTCTCATATTCTCTCACGCAATATCCACGTGACAGTTCGTCATGACAGAAGACTTTGAGGGCCTGCCAGGTGGAGACCTATTGTTATCGGAGCCCGAGGTTGGCCAACGAAGAGATTAAGCCCCATTAGTTGAACGGAACGGGGAAATAGGAATACGTCTTCGGGGGCGTATTGGTGATCGACATTTTCTCTTGTTGGTGAGCAGTTCAACGCTCGATCCACAATCCGAATACCCGTATTTGCAACTGTGACATAACTTGTAATTCAGCGAATGGTGGGGTCTTACAATCCCGGTTGGTCACTGCAGGATTCATCTCTGCTGGTGTGAAGTGACGACACATGTATATGTACATGAGCGGCGCAAGCCGGAACTCTCGGGCCGCGGAGGGAAGCTTATATCAATGCCCGATTCTGATAATAAAAAGGCCGAAAAGGGGCAAAAGGGAACAGAATCATGGCAGGCCAGCAACCAACTTGACAAACATTTGATTCCTGAAAACCACCCCCATGCCATTGATACATCCAATAAACCAACGCAATACCCATAAGGACATAGACGCCACCCGGCCCTCGATAACCGACCGGGACAGGGACAAAATACAAATACTCTAGCAAACATTCTGGAATCTCGGCGTAAGCCTGACATGCAGGAATCCCTCGTATCCCTTCCTCGGATACGTCGTCAGATACTTGAACTCGCCGGCTTTTTGGGCTGCTTCCTCGTCCTCGCCTTCCGGGGCAAAGCTGAAATTGAAGTTGTACACCAGACAAGCCAGGGTCTTTCGCAGGACTTGGCGGGCGATGCTGAATTCTCCTGTCAGTTTTTGTCTTCATTGACGGTCGCTGAATTAGGTATGGGGCGATGACTTACAACTGTCCTAAGCAAGTTCGCGTACCAGTGCCAAAGGTCACAGAGCTAGCCCTGGCCTTTTGGGCCTCGTCGCTGTTTCCGAGCCAGCGGTCGGGTTTAAAGCTGTTCGGCTCGGGGTACAGATTTGCGTCATGCTCCAGCATGTGAAGGGTGAAACTCATGCTTGTCTGTTTTGGGTTTCTGTTAGCGACCACACCCCCCTTTTTAGGGGTTGGTAGTTCGGGGCTTACCTTGGGCGGGATTACCGTCCCCCTGTACTCGATCGGCTCCGGTGCCATACGCGGTTGGCGATGCCATCCCGGCGAGCTCAGACGCGTGGATTCACGGCACAGCGCATCCTGAAACCAGTAGTTAGTTGTGATCATTCCGTACTATAATGGCGTGGATCAACTTACCAGATAAGGCAGCCGCACGACCCGGGGATCGCGCCAGATACGGTGTCCGTACGTGCCGACGTCGAGGGTGTCGAGCTCGGCGCGCAGCTTCTGGATGCACTCGGGGTTCTGCATCATGTTGTGGAGTAGGAAGGTGAGGTTGCTGAGCAGGGATTCGTTGCCGATGAACAGGGCCTGGGCCGACTCCTGCGTAACGATCTGCTGGTCGTTCCCGAGCTGGTTGAACAGACGTGCCAGAACGCTGCCGCGGTCCTTCTCGTGATGGCCTTCCGGGTCTTTCTGGTTCTTCATGAGGGGGCCGAGATGTTCCATGACCAGCTGTTTCATGTGCGTCAGTGACCGGGATGGTGAAAGAAGGAGGCGAGGAGAAATCTTACTGCATCAAGCCAGCCCAGAGGAGAGAACGTGCGGAGGGAGGGGAAGATGTCAAATGCCTGTCTGGCGATGGGCATGGTCCGCAGCACCGTGGCCAGCTCGATGGCGCTAAACGCCCGGAGGGAGTCGTGGACCTTGGTGAGGTCTGGATCTCGGAGATAGCCCATGTCCTCGTCAAGGAGGTAAGAGACCATGACGTCGTTTGTGAATGCCCAGAGAAAGTGCGTTGCGTTGACGGGCTTAACAATGCTGCTGTAGCCCTTGGCGCCCGGACCGGCAATATCAAGGAATCTGTCATGCAGAGAATCGAGATGGGAATTCAGAGTTGTGGCGGAGAAGCGCGAAAGGGTACCTCCACTGAAAAGGGGCTGGATGATGGACTTGCGCTCAACGTGACTGTGGGGACTGGACAGGCCGCCCAGGAGGGTGTTCAGCAAGCCGTAGTAGCTGGTGCATTTGGCGAGGTCTGCGCGTTTGTGGTGGGTGAGGCAGAATTCATGGTCGTTGAAGTGGAGCTCATGGGGACCAATTCGAACCACAGGACCTGATTGGAGTGTTAGTAGGTTTCAATGTCAGAGTAGCTGGTGTGGGAAGAATACCGTATTGTTGGTGGAGCGCCTCCAGGTTGACCAGCCAGTCATTCTTATACAGAACGTGGTACGCCTCGTACAGTTTGGTACAAGCGGCGAAGGCCGGGCCGGGGAACTTGGTGAGGGGGCTGAAGAACCGCCGGTAGACGTACTTCACGACCAGATACAAAGGAACGAGGATAAGGAAAGCTTGCAGGATGGTGGACATGATGGTTGGTTTGACACTTTGCAGGTGTGTGAAGAAGAATGACGGCGAGAAGAGCGATCTTAGACCCAGGGTGATGAGCCCTACGAAGCTTATACGAGGAAGGTATCTGGACAGAGACTGTGGAGAGATTGGTGAAGAGTAGAGAGTATGAAAGGGCGCCACCAATCTGATCAGAGAATGTTCAATCATACGTTCGAATAGAGCGGTATAGAACTGAGGAGAGGTGGAAGATGAGCAATGACGAGAAGAGAAGAGGGTTGTGGGATGCCGATGCCAAGGTTTTGTACTTGATTCACGCTGGTCTCCGGCTCTCCCTTTGACACCATCGATGCTATCTTCTCATGTCGACTTCTCACCGCATACGTCCGTATGCTTGGACTAGGACTGGCACAGACAAGGCCAGGCACGCGCCCCATGATGCTATCTGCAAGCCCATACGCTAGAAAATCAGGACTACAGAATCCGGCAGCCTGGTCCTCCGGTCTGGGAACAGCAAAGGCCGGCCCTCGTTCGTCGGAGTCCTTTCCAAGCTGCAACTCCATCACCAACGACGCTCGGAAACCGTCTTTCCGAAGATCGGGCGGCGAGTCTCCTGGCTACGAATGGGTCTAGTACTGCAGTCTGGACACCACCTAT